ACGTTATATTCATGAAGTCCTTATATTCGTGTTTTAAAAATTTGACTTTTTTATCTATAATAAGAAAAATTATATTTATGTCCTTATTCAAAAATTGAAACATGTGGAAAAGTCCTTATTCAATTACAAATTATCTCTAAAACTTTTCATATATACAGTGACAAAGCTAGAAATTGTTGTTAGGGGGAGCTCATATATCTTACTCTCAAAATCGATTATAGAGATGTTATTTAAAATAGCCATACGAGTGCACGATTTCTATTTTGCTTTTTAGTTGAATTTTGATTAAAATGATGTTATTTTCTGTCTTATAAGAAATGGAATCAAGTTTCTAATCTTTTGGGGGCTATATATAAATTTCGTATATATAGAAGCTTAAATTTTAATCTCTTAAGGGTTATATATAAATTTTGATAAAAACAAAAGTTGAGGGAGGCTTAAGCGCCCCCTAAGCCTATACTGGCTACATCCCTGCATATATAGTGTCCCTATTAAAAAATAAAAAAATATTGGCTCCGCAAATGTTTATCATGTCTGTGGCAACGCCGCACATTACTTTATATATCATATACGTACTATAGTATTAATTTTATATTGTTATGGATGTATCATTAACAACCCAAATAAACAAAATTTGAGATGTAATACTCTTATGTTTATATATTTAGGGGAAGAAATAATATATTAATATAAAATTATAATAAATAAATAAATAGTAAAAAAGTACATTATGAGATTTGTAGTAGTATTACGTACATTAAATTTAGTTCAAAATTAACTTAATTTAACTTAAGTCTTCCGAAATACTTTTCTACTCGGTCCCTCAAGACAAGAACACGTGATATCTCACATGCTTTTTACATTACAAAATCCAACTCCAAGATTTCAAGTTTTATACTTATTGAACATTTTTTTTTTCTTTTCAAAGGAAAATATCTCGAGGCAATTGAGAGATAACATAAAGAGTAGTACAAGCTATATTGTGCTGGCCATTCTGGAAACAAAATGGGAGCAGAAACCTCTATATTATATTGTGCTATAACATTATATTGATCAACGACCAATAAGTTGCGCAACAACGCAGCCTCTGATTGTCATTGTACGATCGAGAGATTTTATGTGTATGTATATGTATGTAGTAGTTTTATTTTTGAAGTGACCCTAATGGTAATGGAGGATAAACATGGTAAGGGCAATATTTTCCAAAGCAGCCTTTGGAGCTCTCCAAAGACTACTTTATCTATTGTACAACATTCGTAACACATGTACACACGCGTACACGTGGTTTTTTTTTTCTTTTTTTTTTTTTCTTTCTTCTTCTCACTTTATACACGTGAATTAAGAACAAACAACAACAATATTGTACCGCCGTACGTGGAGCTGAGGAAGTTCTTGGTGGCGGCCGCAGTTTCTTGCCGTAGAGCTCGACGCTTTACAATTTACAAATGCCATAAAGCAAAGATGGACAGGTCAGGAAGAGAGTTGAACTAAGGGTGCGTGTAGTTGCCTTAAGAAAATAATAATAGTAATAAAAATGAAAATAAGAATGGTAATAAAATAGAATTAAAAAAAATTTAATTAGTTTAAAAATAATACAGAATGGAATATAAATATTTTCATGCGACAAAATTTCCTCTTATGTTATATATATACACCACTATTATTTTATATATCAATATAATTAATATGATATTTCTAATATAATAAAACTATTAACATATAATATATTATATTATTATGATATAGATTATAATAATATTATGATAATGATTAATTAATAT